CCAGGATTTTACATACTACAGATGTCAAACTAACAGGCCTATAGTTACCCGGGTCGCTTTTTTTCCCTTTCTTAAAAATAGGAACTATATTAGCAATTCTCCAGTCAAATGGTACAACCCCTGAGTTTAGAGATTTATTAAAAAAATTTGCTAATGGACTTGCAAGTTCATGTGCCAGTTCCTTTAATATTCTTGGATGAAGATTATCTGGGCCCCCCGATTTACTCCCATTAAGCTGTTCAAGTCTGGCTTTTACCTCAGATATGGTAATATCTACCTCCATATCTTTAGTCCCATTTGTTATGTTTCCATTATCCCTAAGCTCTTCATTAGCCTCATTAAAGACTTTGCTAATGGACTTGCAAGTTCATGTGCCAGTTCCTTTAATATTCTTGGATGAAGATTATCTGGGCCCCCCGATTTACTCCCATTAAGCTGTTCAAGTCTGGCTTTTACCTCAGATATGGTAATATCTACCTCCATATCTTTAGTCCCATTTGTTATGTTTCCATTATCCCTAAGCTCTTCATTAGCCTCATTAAAGACTGAAGCAAAGTATGTGTTTAAATATTGGGCCATTCCTAGATTATCCTTAACCTTCACTCCATCCTTAGTAATTAGCGGTCCTACTTCTTTTTTTGTTTTGTTTAATCTGTAGTATGCAGCATTACTTTGGATATGAACAGCAGATCTTTGCCCCATATATCTATTTAGTACATTAAGCTTAGTTTGCCTTTTTTGCTTGGTAATCTGCTTTGACCTGTTCACTATCCCTTATCAATAACTTAAGATCTATCTTTTGTAGTTATAAACTTGTTTTTGTTTTATCTAAATCCACTGTATGGGAATCACAACATAGGGGGAGAATGTTGCTGCATATTCTTCTCCACATTAAGGGAAGGAGTGAATTTCATGATCCTGCAGCGTACAGTTCCCAGTGCAGCAGAAGTTTAATTTTGGGTTTAAGACTCCAGAGAGGTTGTTTGCCTTAGGAACTGGGAAGTGCCTAGCTGAAGCTTTCCTTTGCAGAAGCTGGATAAAGAACCTGCCTCCATGTGCTGCCACTGGTTATGTCCCTACCTGGACGTATGCTGGTGAAGGGGCAGGTTAGAGAGAGCTTTGCAACTTGTCACAGCAGTACAGTGTTAAAAGAAACCCCCAGGCTGGTGGATCTGGAGGGCTCAGAAGTACCCCAGTGCCAAGTGGCACCTGGGCTGAGCCTGTCACAGAAAGTTCTTAGCCCAAATACTGTTATTGACATCCCAAAGCAGCTAACAGATTTCCTTTAGGATGTGGAAGGATAGAAGGCTGACCTGCTGAGAGTTTCCACCAGGGACTGGAGGTGCTGCATCTGGCTGTTGAGTGTCTTCTTGTTCTCTTCCAGATTCTGAAACCTCTGCCTCAGCATCTTGCTTTCTTCTTCCTGCTGTCTTTGCTGATGTAGCAGAGAATGGACAGAGTCCTGGCTGGCTGAAAGTTGCTCCTTTAGGGCCTGCCAGGGGAAGAGGTGGAATGAGTATGTGAGCAGGAAGGGACTAAGAGGATAGGACCAGGTGGACCAGCTGGGAGGTGGTCAACAATTATGCGTGAGGGCAACAGCCGCTGAAGAGTACAAGGAGATAGTTCAAACACAATCAGCTAGGAGAGTCAGGAGAGAAACAGATCACATGAGGGCAAAAGTTGACATCCAGTGTGGGAGGAAGAATTACAGAAGGAGCATGGGCAAAGAAAAGGCAGTCTCAGTGCAGAGCAGTGTTTCTTAAACTGTGTTCCGCAGCACACTGGTGTGCCGTGAGGCAGTCGGAGGTGTGCCGCGGAGAACAGAATTCAAAATGGCCACCCTTAAGGGACAGGCAACCTTTTATTTCCTCAATAACTTTTCCCCGACCCTTCCCCCCCTCCCCAACCTTATTTTTTTTTCCTCTCAACAAAAAATCCTTGGTGTTCCCCATTAAAAAAAATGTTTGGTGTTCTCAGTCTTAAAAAGTTTAAGAAACACTGATGTAGAGTGAAGAATGGCTAGAAAACAGGAATTAGTGGAGGGAGAAATGCTGAATGAGGCATAGGCAGACTGAGTAGGCTGGCAGTGCTACTAGTGTCAAGAGAGTTTTGCACCAGATCCCTCTCACCTGTACTGCCTGGCACCTCCTGGACAATGCTTCGTGCACCAAAACGACAGCCCTTTCCATGTCATTGGAGCTCAGCAATAAGGAGAGGTTGCTGGATTCAGGATGCTGGGACCTCTCAGTCCATGAAATGCTGACTGCATTGTCAGTATCATTTAACACTGCCTGAAACCCAAGAGCAAGCTGTTACTTCTTCCCTCCTGAAACTCTCTCATATTTACCCAGTTCTCCCTCCTCCTCCACACCAACCTTTAGTCAGAAGGTATAGGCCAAATGACTTAAGACAACAGGGAAGATTGGCTCTGGTGGCCATGACCTCCTGTATTTCAGATATGAATGATTGCAGAATAAGTGATAAAGGAGAGACAGGA